AAAATACAGCAGGAAGAGGTGTACGGTTCTCAGCCAAAAGGGGTGCTGACTGGCTAACGGCCCTAATCTCCGCCATTAACGAATTTGATATCCGGTAGTTTGCTTCCACGTTTTCCTGTGCAAAAGCATCAGCAGCATGTAATCGAAGGCGACATAACTCGATTTTCAAAATAATAAATTCAGGAACTCGGTAATACGAGTTGAATACAAGCACTGGAGAAATGTCACAAGAATGGAGTAGAGAACAGAGGAAAGAAAACAGCTTTGTTACCTTTGGAGTGTCTGATGCTGCAACCTGTGGAAATGTGATGTCTGACTGACCCAACTGCATGCATAAGGAGACAATTTTAAGAAAATAGGAAACTATATTCAATAAAGCAGTGCAAGATATTAAACTTCTCAATAGATATAAACCATTGTCACTGTACATACAGAACAAATTCTCATTTCCAATTTTTTAACCACTCCTGTTTATTCTATTTAAACATCAATCCTCATACTTGCTGTGGAAGGATTCAATGCCCCATAAAATAATGTCTTTTCCCTTGCAAGACAAATTTCGCATTACTCTAGAAGTCAGGACTTCATTGATTAGTCCACCTTGTTTATAATACCCTTTCAAAATCAATCACCTTTTGGAAAAAGAATCGAGGGATCAAAATAGTAGCATCTTAGTCATCACGAGTAAAACATCTAAAGCAAGGTCATATATTTTCAATTCCAGAAACATATATAAATATCACCTCTGAGGAGAAGTGTTTTGCAGAAACTGCATCTTCTTGGTTGTTGTCATTTACTCTGTAGTCAAAACTCAACTCCCCGTCGTCTTGTGCTTCAGAGCCATCATCATCATCATTATTTTCAATTTCGTCATCTTCATCCTCATCGTAAAGTCCACTAAAATGGTAAGCAATATGCTGTGACTCAGTTACCATCTTCACATGCGGCTCTACTTCTTCGAGAGACTTCAGAGCCTTCTTGAAGAAGCATAACTGCACAAACACACAACAGTGAATTCAAACCAGTGCTTTGGAAACTGAACAAACGATTAAAGGAGGGAAGATGAAAACCTGCGCAGCATGGTGACGAGCTGCCTGTGTCAAAAGACTACGTGTTTGACCTTGTTTCAATGATTTTAAACGGAAAAAGAATAAGGTTGCTTCATTGTCATATTCCTCCTGAGCTTCTTGTAATTGATTCATGGAAAAAGTCTCTCCTTTCCCACTCCTCGACCTCTCTTTTTCTCTAGTTTTCATAAGCATGTGTTCATAAACATTTCTGGAATGTAAAAAAAACGGTGTCAAGTAGAATACTTTGCCCTATAACACTAAAACACACTTTGATAAGCTTGTAAAAAGAGGATACCATCCAATAATAGGGGTATATCATTTACTTCAAGTAAATCAACATTTCCCCTAGCAAAAATAAGCTTCTACCACGCATCTTGTCATTGAACTGTAGTAGAGCAATGCACGTAATTTTGTCTAGAAAAGAGAATGAATAGAAGACATGGCTAACCTTTTCTCATCACAAAGCCGCTTCATTTCCTGCATTGCCATATATCATAGTTTAACTATAACTAATCAACCGACCGAATTACTAGTGTAGTGAAACAAAGAATATGGATAATTGCACGCTGCTAGCACGGAAGTTAAGATACATGCAGGATGCACATGGCAACGTTCTGAAGAGAAAATTAAACAAGAGAAAAGAAAGTTTGCAGATGAACAAACCTCAACTATTCGAAGTTCATTAAGAAGTGACTCAGAAGGGCTTGTGATTGTTTGAAATATATGAGACCGCTGAAATTGTAGAATATATTAAAACAATTATTTCAATTGTTAGACAAAGAATTACTCAGTTGAGGAGTTTTGAAACAATGTGTACCAGATCCAAAGTCCAAACAACTCACATAATTATCAACAAGTTTCTGGAGTTCAAACTGCACTTTTCCCAGCATTAGCAACACTCTACCTGCATAGGAACAAGAGATGCAGGCTTTTTTCACGCAGTGATTTATATAATTGAAAGCAACAGAAAAGCTACAAATGTAACGTGCACAGAGCAACAAAAGAAGTGAAGGAACAAATAGCTACTGGCCCTAATGGTGTAGATTATAGCAAGAGAGAAAGCAATAGATATTACAGAATCTTCTCATCATGCTTACCACTTTCTTCGTCGTCATTTAAAGCTGTTTTCTCAAGTAGACAAGAACCCAATTCTTGCAATGACTCAGAGAATTCTGCAAACAAATGAAAAACTGCAATGATAAGGACAGGCACTTTCTAACTTTTACAGTTTCAAAAGAAATCCTTAAGAGTTTCAAGTGAAGTCAATCATAATAAGGACATCCCCAACTTCAAATACAGATATATAACCCCAACTAGACGGATTGAGAAAGCATTTCAGGTTTGAATCTAAGCATTACTCCCTAAAAATAAGTATTATCTGTAAGCACATTCAACACTACAGTAAATTGCTTTGGATTCCAGGCCACCAATGTTTTGCAGTTGCCTGTTGTATTTTTCTAAGCAAAGCAAGAGAAATCAATGCAATACCGTATGCACTGTTCGCTGTAGCAGCAGCAGCAGAGAGCAAACCATCATAGCAATCTCTCATGTCTTGCATTTCCTGCAAAACAGCGAACAAAACGCTAGGTATTTATTACTGTCATGTCAAGCTCCAAACATTCCTTGTAAGTTTCAGAAATTAGCATAACTAAAAGAAAACATGAACTTCCTCAAAACAGGACACATAACAACAGTGGAAGCTCCAGATCCACGAACTAATCCAATACTTAAACAGCTCTGTTCGTGAATTCTACATCTAATACACGGCAATTTACGGCCTAAATCATTCCCACTAAGCTGAAATCCGCAACTAATTCATACAATACTACAGAAATCCGACGAGTTTCCTAATCGAGAAGAATACAAATCCAAAACCATCTCATCATCCATAATTAACGAAATAGAAGATGAAAACAGTCCGATTTCTGAAAGAGGAGAGATAAACAGAGGAGAAATCGGAACCTGCGATGCCTGAGCAAGCTCGTCCTTCTGAGTAAGAGCTCGGAGATCTCTCCGGTCCTTGGCCTGATGCTTGTGGTGAACCGCACCCCGCAACCGTCGCAGAGACGTCTTCATCGCCGGAAACCACCGTTCTCCGGCGAAAAAAAACAATTAAAATGAAAAAAATCAAAAATCAGAGACGACGAACGATTCGTCTTCTTCCTCACATCTACGTCATTTCGCGAGGACGACGAACGCCAAGAGAAAGTACCAAAAAACCTAATAATGCCATGAACATAAAAGGAGCGTTTGTTTAGAGAAAAAGGAAACCGTTGATCCTTGACTTCGTCGTCTCTTCGATTCTTTTTGTGTTTTTGTTTTTATTTTTTATTTTATTTTTTTTTTCGCCCACATAGTCCCGCGGATATTGACGTCAGCATGCGAGATTAATGATGTAATTATTGATTATGTATATTAATCATCGCCCTTGTTAATGGCATAATCTCGTCATTAAGGGGAAATTAGCATTGATTTAAGAGATTATTAGATTCAACAACGAACGAGTTGCTCAGCCTGATCATTCGCGATGCTGACGTACCATCTAAATGACTACATCATTAGTTATTTACAATAAATATATTTGGATTATTTCAGATTAACTAATGTGGATAGATAGAGGTTATTTTCTCTATTTTCATGTAAATAACAAATTCAAACTAATCGAAAAACATCTAATCGAATTCGATTGTAATTAAATTTTTTCTAATAAATTTAATTGAATTATAAAATCAGCAACAAAAAAAATGAAACAAAAATAAATATCTCTTTAATCCATTAACAGAACTTCTTTTTCGGTGATATAAATCCAAATCGGACAAAGCAAATAATATATAATTTTGTCACTAATGACTCAAAATGAAAAAAAGATTCGAGATAATTTTATTTAAATTAAATTAACAGAATTTTAAAAAGTATAAATAAATATACATGAAAAAAAATTGAATCATAGTGCTTTTTTGGAACAAATTTTTTAATTAACAATGATACCAATTCAATAAGGTATAAATATATATAATTTTTATAAAAAACCTTTAATAAAAAAATAACAGAAAAATGATCTTTGTTATAATTTAATTTGTTTTTTTGAGAAAGTTGCAATTTGAGTCATAACTGAAAATAAATATATGGGTCAAATAATTTGACCACACCAACTAAAGTTTCTTTCGCTTCCAAATTCTATGTTTTCCTGTTCTAAAGTTACGTATATAAGTATTTAAAATTAGGGTTGATCGTTACGGTTCGGTTCCGTATAATCGGATCGAAGCCGTATAATCGGATCGAAGTGAAAAATTCGATGTCGTTTTTGGAACCAAACCGTTTAAATTCTCGAACGATAATATTTTTAAAAAATCAAATATTTTAAAACCGAACTAAACCATCTCCCCCAAACCGTAAATTTATAAAGAAAATATACATTTTTCTTTAAAAAAACGAAATCGAACCGATATAGTAACCGATTGGTATTCAATTTTTATAGAACCAAATAAAAAATGAAATCGAACCGCTAAAATAACCGATTTGGTATTTATTTCTGTATGAACCAAATAATCCGAACCGATCAAATACCGGTACCGAATACCGAAAGGTAACGCCGTTCCAAAAACCATTTCAATGCATGATGATGAATCCCACATCGGAGAAATAAAGGACAGCAGCCGTGGATCGAGAACCAGACCAAAACTCTGACACGAAGACACACATAAGAGGATAGATTGTTTCTACAGGAAAAAGACAATCCTATTATCGGATTTCCGACAGCTGGTTTGTTCATCGTCCGAGGAAGAAGACGACGTTGTCTCGGTCACTCCACTTGAACAGGCTGACGGGGAGGAAGGAGACAGATTCAGGTCGCACGTTTTCTCTCTCTTCATGAAGTCATAGAACAGCAATGGCGATTTCTTCTCGAGGTTTCTCTCTCTTCCCTCCGATTTCTCCTCTTCCGTCTCTTTGTTTCTCTTCTTCAAGAATATCCTGCATAGGACCCAGCTCTCCCCTCTTGCCCTCCTCTCCTGTGGATTCTTGAAATAGATTTTAAAAACAAAATTAGAAAATATGTAGAAAAACAAATCATTAACAAAAAAAATATAGAAAAAAAAATTAGAATGGATAAATGGTTTGATTATTTAAAAATTAATCAAATAAAATTAAATAACTGTATGATCATTAATTATCAAGGCTTAAAATAATTAAATTCGAATTAACTGTATAAACAGAATTGTTGATCATTCATACAATATATTATCCATTAATATGTACATTTTTCTAGGGCAATATTTTAAAATTTAATTCATTTATTTTTGTAGGAATTAAATCGAATTTAGATTTTTATTTGATTATAATTTTAATTATATATAACTGAAACCAATTGAAATAATTAAATAATTCCTCCGTTTCAAAATAATTGTAGTTTTAGGTTATTTCACATTTTTTTAAGAAATGATAAAAACAATGTTATCATTAATAATTTATTGAAATTTGATAGGGATAAAATTGGAAACTATCGATAAAAAATATTTTGAGAATGTAGTGACAAATATTTTGAAACATGAAAAATAATCTAAAACTAAAAATATTTTGAAATAGAGGAGGGAGTAAATGTTTGTTTATAAAACCTCAAAATTTTAAATAATTGAATCCGAATTAACTGTAACCCGATAAAACTAATATAACAGTTTTTTCGGGGCAGGAAAAAACTGTAAACGAATTTACAAAAAAAAAAAAAAGAAACTCACGTGTGTTGATGATGCGTCCATGTCATGTGATGTATCATCAACAAGACGATATTCATGGAGAATCCAATCAGTTCTTGTTCCATTCGGTGGTTTTCCTCTGTAGAAAACCAGCGTCTTCTTCATCCCCAAGACCTTGTTCCCTCTCGAACCGGCTATTATTCTCTTGTCGATTCCGGTCGCTTTCCAATAACCGGAACCGGTCGCCCGGTTCGACCGGTTCCCGTTCGGGTATTTCGCCTCTCTCGTGCTGAAGAAATACCTCTCGGAGCCCAAATCACCTGCTTCGAAAAATCATGTACGAAATCATCAAAAAAGCTTGAAACTTTTTGGTCGAATGATTGATTTTAAACAGACCCAGAAGAGAAAATTTGCACCTGGTAAATCCCACGGATCGGATTTGCAGATATCCGTTTCGGATATCACAGAAGCCGGTAAGGGTAAACCGGTAACTTTCCGCTTCAAGTACTCGACGATGAGTTCTTGGTCTGTCGGGTGAAACCTGAACCCAGGTAGTAACTTCAGAACCTTGTTCTTGACACGTACGCAGTCAGGCTTTTCCATCGGTTTAATTCGGTTCGACCAGAAATTTCCCGGTTTACACGGGTCGAACCGGTGGTTTATGCGTGGTGGAGAAACAGAGGAAGAGGAAAGAGGATCGAATTCGAAGGATGATGGGTTAACGGGACAGGAAAAGGTCTCGGTTGCTTTTATAGCAATTGAGATTTGTATTTATTATATGGTTTATACGTATTTTTCACCATTTTTTAGCGAATTATATCTTATTGGTTAATAAATTATTATCATGTTTCTTTGACCTCTAGATTTTTTTTTTAATTTCTATTTTAAAATTCTTGGCAATCGTAACATGATGCATGAAAGGTTAACTTTTTGTACGGACAATTGGCCTACACAATGAGAGTAACGTGAATTCAATTATTTACAAATATATTTCGGACAATATACGTATTTACACATTTTCATTTGGTACGCAATTATCTGCACTCACGCAAACGCATTATTAAGACGGGTGGTTAGTTCGATATAATGGATATTTAAGATAGTACTATGGGATATGAATTAGTGGAATATATTAGCCAAAATCATTTAAAATCTAACAAAAAATTGCATAATTACTTGGTGCCACAAAAATATATATATCTTTTTTAAGAATAATATTTTGCTAGTTATTATCGTATGAAAATATTTATGAATATTTTTTTATATTTCTGATTCAAATTTCAATTTAAGATAAAGAGGTTACATTTTTTGTATTGCAAAAATATATTTCCAAGAAAACATTACACTGATTTTTACAGGGGGAATAGATTTGTGATTTGAAATTATTTGCTACATTTGATCTTACTAGAATATCATTCATATATATATATATATATACATATATACGGAAATGTAGATGAATATATATGTTTTTTTTTCAAATTTTTGGCAGTGAAAAAGTGTTGATTCCGAAGACTAAGCCGAACATAACGTTTCAAGGGCAAGGGTACGAGACGACGGCCATAGCGTGGAACGACACAGCCTATTCAGCTAACGGAACATTTTACAGTGGGACGGTCCAAGTCTTTGCATCTAACTTCGTTGCTAAGAACATTAGTTTCATGGTCAGTCCCCTTTCAATTATTTACCATATAGTATATTAAAACGATTTCTATAGCTTAGTAACATTTATTTTACGGGGAGAACTTATCCACAGTCTTTCGAACGCGGTGGTAAACCTTCGGTTCTACACAATAATCTACAAACCACGTGAAGTAATTAAATCACTCAAAAGGTGATAAACTCGCAGGGAAATGGTGTTGAACCTACGACCCCTTGTAGAATATTTTTTTTATAATTAGGAGGTTCATTGAGCTTTCGGTTCACTTAATCCCCTTGAATCCGAAATCAATCTTTAATCACGCAATTAATTGCATCTCCTCCTTCCCACTAGCGGAATCAAACCTTTGTAGAATCTTAAATTCTCAAACTATCTCACAAATACGGGATTTGTCATGTGCTCCATATTTCTCTCTTGCCATTCCCCTTTCCGGTTGCATGTTATAATATGCTTTTCATAACCCTAATTTCACATATTTTCTCTAACAATCCAACACGTAATTCATGAAATTAATTGGTCGTATCGTATGGTTTATAAAGCAAACACACGAGGGAGAGTCGTAAGTGAAATTAATATCTCATTCATGGTGATGTTGATGGTGATGACTGTAGTGTAGCTTCGTGATTCATTCATGCATGTGTTCTTGAATTCTCTCCCACCTATATGCACATCAACTTGCTAAAATATCTTTAGATATGCCATTTAGATCTATTACGGACCATAAAGAATTAAATAGAAATTGGACAGCACCAATTATCCATTTTTTATACGGAAAATCTCATAAAAATACATGAATTCTAAAAAATATAATAAAAAATATATCAATTTTTAATTTAACAAATAAATAGATTAAATGTTAAAATATACCAAAAAAATATCTCAACTTTTGAAATTGAAAACAATTTCTTATATATCAATTTTCCAATTAAAATCTGTTAAGGTCCATTAAAATTCGTATGTAAAATAATTTCAAACAATTTGAATAGCGACAGTATAAGTAATGACTATGTATGAAATTATTTTTATTTGAATAATTGAAGTATATATTTTCTGATTTTTTATTTGAATAATTGAAGTATATATTTTATGGTATATTTCAATATTTGACGTATCTATTTCTCAAATTAAAATTGATGTATTTTTTATATATTTTATAAAGTTTAGATATTTTTATGGGTTTTTGGTTGAAGTAATATTCTTGAATTATTTCGGTGGATAAGAATCTGATTCTCATTTGCAATATCACAATTCAAACGATTTCTCTTTAAAAACATTAATCTGATAAATAATATTTCGTAAAATTCTGTTTATTTAGTTTTTTATGCTTCAATTTATTAAAAAAAAAATAGAATGGTATTTTACGTGGAAGTGACAACCATTGTCTATCTTAAATAATACAATCCTTTACAATGAAAGTTCATATATCTTTGAAAGGATGTCTACGTCTATAGATTCAAGGATAATTATAACATCTATAATATTTAAAAAATATAAATAAGGGGGCGACTGGTTGCACCGCCGTCACCCGCAAACGAAGCGGTTGCAATTTTCGACGGTTGTGGGCGATTGAAAAACTGACTGGTTGAATCGCAACCAACCGCAACCGCAACCAAACTTGTGTTTTCTAATCGCAGCTTCCAACTTGCATATTGGTAGCGGTTTCCGGCGTTTTGACAAAAAAACTAAAATATTTACTTAAAAATAAATTAAATTGATAATATTTATATTTTAAATTTATTATTTAATTATTATAAATTTAGTAAATAATTTTTATCAAATGATACGAAAAATTTAATCAAAACTATTATAAAAAATTATTTTTAAATAATATTTTTTTTGACAATTTATATCAAAACGCAACCGCAACCGTAATGAACCATTCACTTCTAACTGCACCCACCCGCAATCGCTACCAACAACAACTTCTCAACCATTCAGTACTAATCATATATAATCGCTATCAAACGTTTTGAAAACGCTACCACCCACAACCGCAACCGCTGCGGTACAACCAGTCGAACCCTAATACATATATACGTACACATATTCACATACGAGTTTAACATGGGAAAATTCCATGTAGTATCTTTATTTCCTTTTTATATTCTGAAAGTTAAATGAATCTTTAATGTATTCAGTACTAATCATATATAATCGCTATCAAACGTTTTGAAAACGCTACCACCCACAACCGCAACCGCTGCGGTACAACCAGTCGAACCCTAATACATATATACGTACACATATTCACATACGAGTTTAACATGGGAAAATTCCATGTAGTATCTTTATTTCCTTTTTATATTCTGAAAGTTAAATGAATCTTTAATGTAAATAAATTTTTTAGAAAGTCTAGATGAATATTTTTCCCAAATGGAAATTGGAATCTAAATTGGAAAAAACTTTTGTTGAATAGGCGTATCTAGGAAAATATTTAGTAAATATATTTAAAATTTTATAAATTTTGTAAAAAAACTTAATATATTTTTATGAGATTGTTGGGGCATGTGTGCTCTTATTCCTCTTGTCTTAGGTCTGTCCCCACAGTTTATTCTATCATTATCAGTTAAACCACCCAAATTTGGATTACTATTTCCATCTTTTGAATTAGTGATGTAAAATGGGTCGGTTCGTACTAGATCGGTTCATCTTGTTCCGAACCAGTTCATTTTCAAATCAACTCGATAAGTCCGTTTTTATTCAGACAAAATAATTTATGATTGGATCCAAATCGCTCTAATTCGCGAGTCATACCGCAAACCAAATAAATAAATAAATAATATTAAATATAATTTAAAAATATTAAAATAATAATTAATATATTTAAAAATAATAAAAAATATTAAAAACTGACAAATCTTTTTTAAAATTATTAAAAAAATCTTAAAAAATAAAAATAATTTTTTTTGGCTCGTGAACAAGCTCGTGGATTTGTCGAACTGGCTCGCGATGAACTCAGTTCGTGACCAGTTGGCTCGTTGGATCTATTTTTTTCGGATTCAAATTTTCTAAACTCAGATAAAAAAAATATGGGCTAACTCGCGAGCCGAACTCATTTTGACATCCCTATTTTTTTTAACACATTGTTCAAGTCGTTTTTATTTCATCTCATACTTAAAATCTTTTACTATTTCATTTGGCTCAGATTCCATAATATAATATACAATGCTAAAAATTGTCGTTTTAGATCTAATATGATATATATATATATATAGTCAAATATTTTTCCTTTGATTATTATTGGTAGGTCTACAGGAGTGGATCGACTCGTTTTCTTCGTCTCCTCAAGGCCAATATGTTCGTATTATACACGCATTTTCCAATTATATATAATTTTTACCTGAACGAGAAACAAACCATTTTAGTAACGATCAAGAGGGCCTAGTTGCCTCGAAACGACGGGCACTCGCATCAAGTTTTGTCGTAAAACGACAACCTATGTCGCCTTTTCGAATTCCGTGAATGGGTGGCATGTCCCCACTCGAAACTCTTCCTTTCGTGTCTCTGCCCGTACAAATCCATATCCATTGGCGAAACGACGAAATTACCCCTATCCGGACTTCACAAATGCAGAAACATTAAGGGGTTGTTTTGGGATTTCACGACGCGAGAGAGAGTTGGCTTCGGAAAATGTTGGAATTGTCAAATCAACGACGCCGGTTGCGTAGGGAGAAGGAAAAGAGCCTTCTCATGCAATTTTATGGTTTCTGAGGGGTCTAATTGTTATTATATGATAATGAAATCGTGTTTGTTATTTATTTATTTATTTACATTGCTATACTTTGTAACTATAATTCCAATACATATTTGTTGTCCAATCGTTTCGAGGGCAAATATGAACTCAACGAATTTTCCATCTTTTTCTCTCTCACATATTTCAATAAATTAATGAGAAACTAATTTTATTTTATTGAAAAATATAGAATTCATTCTGAATTCAATAAATTATCGGCTTAGTTTTTATTCTGAATTTTTAGTTTTAGTTTTTGGTTTTTGGTTGTTAACTTTTGGTTTTGGGATTTAGTAATATTTATAAATCTAAAAAATAGAGTTTTTGGTTTTTAGTTGATTTTTTTTACTAAATTAGTTTTACGTTTTAGAAAAACTAAATTTATTAAAACTTGATTAGTTTTTTGTTTTGTTTTATGATTCCAAAAATTCTAAAAACTCTTTTCATTCATAACCGTAATCTATTCAATTTTTTTTGGATAACCGGATATCGTTAACCAAGATTTAGACTAATTTTGGGACCGCACAAACTATTTAGTTATTTATGTGTTAGCGTTACAACCTTGATTACTATCAAGTATATTATATATAGCTAATTTTTCAAATATCAAATGTATATATGATATTTTCTTTCAAACTAGATTTTTCTTTAAAAAAAATGAAGTTAGATTGAATACAATGATAATTGAAAACGACTGGATTCAATTTCAAACCCTAGATATTTTCGTAAAGTGGTCCTTCTTCGTACCAATCTAATTTCCTTATATAGGAACAAGGAACATTAATATATTAATTTATGTTAATTCCGAAGCAAAAATAAAATTAAATTATATAGAAATTATTTTGAGATTGTACACTATGTAGAACAAAATGAAGCCAAATACTCGTATTTCTTTTAAAAATCAAGAGTTTGTAAATAAAAATTTGCTTATACATATCATGACGATCGATCCGTAAATCTAATGCTTGAGATAAGATACACATGATATAAATCATCTAGTCAACCGTTTGAATTAAGACTTCTATGCATAAGTGATATATATATATATATATATATATCTGTGTATACACACACACACACATATATATATATATATATATATACACGTATGGACCATATGTATTACGAAATTGCAGTGACTTAAGAGGCATAGGTTAGCCACATGGGGATAAGATTTTGATTTGATAATGATTCATACTTGAAAGGGATTAGATTGTCACATTATAATCAAAGACGCACGCCACACTCAAGTTGCCGCATATATATATATAGTTATATAAATATGTGATTTAAATAAAATATAAATTTTGATATACAATTGGAAATAATAATAGATATAATATTATGCCAAATAAAAATATTTTCATTTTTTTTCATTTACTGTATTTTATTTAATTTTTCCATTATAGTATTTTAATATATATATATATATATGTGTATATATAAAATATATGTGTGGTTCTTCGGGTTTCTTACGCAAAACAATAAGAGTTTCACATTTCATTTTGTTTCCATTTATAGTATTTGTCCTTTTCATTTATATATTTTCGACGGTCAAGAAAGGGTTTGCGTATTGGCTTAGTATGAAGGAAAAGAGAGAGAGACGTCACTGACTCGCCATTTCCTATTTTATTAATTTCCAATAAAAATAAAATCTTTTATTTCATATAAACCGATTCCCGCAATTAATTCCGTTTTTTTTTAATTTACAAGATTTTCGAAAGAGTTGGACCAAATGGGATTAGAGGAAGTTACCAAATCCATGTTGTGTTTTGTATCATATGACAGTGTTTTGAGAGCATATTAAATTAGAGGGAAAATCCTATAAAAATACATAAATTTTATAAAATGTGCCAAAAAAATATATCTAGCTAATTGAAATATTTTTTTTTAGTATATTTCAATATTTACTGTATTTTTTTGTCAAATTAAAAGTTGATATATTATTTTTTGACACATGTGGTATTTTTATGGGATTTAATAATATATTTTTTCTCATTATTACAAAAGTTGAGATCGTAACGTAATACCCAAATGGTCTCTCGTGTTCTTTAGCATTTCTTTTTCACATACATAGTCGTTAATGGCTGGTAATAATTCCATTTAATATGATAATTACGATCATAAATCTCCCTCTCCCTCTCTCTCTATATATATATACACACATATTACGTATATTACATATTATTATTGATTCATTGGTTATTTTTCGGATTTAATTTAGGGTAGGTCAATTTTATTTTTTAGGAAAATAATATTCGATTATTTTTATATTGGATTCGGTTCGAATATAATTATACCTCAATCGAAAAGGATGTTAGTTCGCTTAATGAGGTTTAATAACTCGAAAATCCTATCTTCCTATTAGAAGGTGCCTTTGTGATTTATTCAAATAATTTTTTATTCTTTCAAATAAGTAAAGATCCAACATCATATTAAGGAGGAAAAAAACCTCACGTGAGTTGGTAAGGACTTCCTCCTTCGTCTGAGAGGTTACGTGTTCGACTCTTTATCTACTAGTTTGTCGGAGACATTATCAAAAATATCCTTATTTTGCTATTCTTACTTCGACATATATTCTTCTCCAGGTGTGACCATGTGATCCATGTTACCCGAAATATAGTGTGCACTACAAAAAAAATTGTCATTTCCAACGGGTAAATCCGTTGGAAATGGCCGGATTTCCAACGGATTTATCCGTTGGAATTTCGTCGTTAGAAATCGGTGTCCGTTGGAAAACCGTTGGAATTTTCAACCGGCATCCGTTGGAATTTTCCAACGGAATTTTCAACCGCATTCCGTTGGAAAATTCTAACGAAAAATTCGAAACATATTCCCGACCCGACCCGACCCGACCCCGACACCGACCCCGACCCCGACCCCGACCCGACCCGACCAAACCACGATCTCGAAACTCATTTCCCAGTAGGTCACCCATCCTTAGCTACGGTGGT